AGCAGGATCGCCGAGGGGCTCGCCGGGCACACGGGGCGCCCACACCGCCCACGCCCCGCGCCTGGGATCAGGGGAGGCAGAAGAGCCTTTGGCTCCTCCGTGGGGGTTCTCAAGCATGCCCATCTGGCACGCTTGCATCACTGCCTGGCCACTGCTTCCCCCCCACCCCAGGCTTGCGGGGATGTCCTCTCGCCCGCTACCCTCCACAGGGTCGCCAGAGACCTCGCTTTTCCTGCCAAGGCAGGTTGCTGGTGGCCACTCCGGGCTCCGCGGTCCTGGCTTCCTCCAGAGCCCGCAAGCTTTGTGTCCACGCCTTCGAAGGTAGCCCTGAGGAGACGCATCCAGGGACCCACGGCGACAGGGAGGAGCGGCCACTGTGGGACCCTGGTCAGCACAGGCCCTCCTGCCGACCTGACTGCCACCACGGCTCCGTCTCTGAACCGAGCGCTGGGGTGCGTGGCCTCCCAGCCTGACGGGTAGCTGGTTTGGCGGCTGGCTTTGTTTCCCAGAGACACAAGGCAGCGGGCGGCCCATGTCTCTTCAGTGCAGTTCACCCCAAGGCTCTGCCGTTGACTTTGTTGACCTGGCTGGGCGCCCCACTGGTGCCCTGTGCTTGCCCGGGCCCATCTCACTTCACTTCGCTCTCTCGCCCGCTGCCGTGTGGATACGGGGCCTGGAACGCCGTCCGCGTGGCTCCACGTGTGGGGGGCTCATGCGGGACGCCTGGCTCTGCACGGCTGGCCCGACTCTCGGTCTCTCAGGCACATTGCACGTGCTGAGCTCCCTCCCGGCGCCCCCACAGCCCACAGCTGCCACCCGCCTGGCCGGGCTCTGCAATCCCACGTTTCCCTCCGCCGCGTGGCCACCCCTCCAACTGTGCCCCCACGTGCTCTGGCTCCTCCAGCCTCCACTGTGTCTAGAACTGGGTCCAAACTCTGCGGGCAAGGCTGTGGCCCTGAGTTCTTGGCACCACCTCCCCGTGCTGCACTCCTGCCCGTCCATCCACGCTTGTGTGCCTCCTTCTGGGACCCGCACTCTGGAAGACACCCGCGGAAGCCTCGCCCCACCTGGAGCGTGGGGCCATCCCAGCTGGACCAAGTCCCGGGCCGATGACCGAACGCCCATCTCTGCGGAGTCCAGACCCTAGCTCCGTACCTGATGCGTGCAGAGCCTGTCAGTGCTGGCTGAGCCCGTGGCTGACTGAGCGGCGGGCTGACTCCCTGACTGTGCAGTCGCCCCCAGGGCCCATCATTGTGTGTGGGTCCCAGCTTCGTGGGGGAGGGTGGCTGCAGCAGAGCCTACCACCTGCACCCCACATGGGGACCTCAGGACCCAGGGCCTCAGTGTGCAGGCGGGGCCTGGGGCGGGTGCCGACGAGGGCCTCTGGACGGGCCAGCCACACCGCCAGCCACCTTCCTGGGGGCCGTTGCTCACTTGGCCCTTCCATTCACCTTCACGACTGTGGGTTGAGTCACTCAATGGCTGAACTAGATCTGGGGTCATTCTGACGTCTGAACACAGGCCCCGAGCACCAGCCTCGTGGCCTCGCGTGCCTCTGCAGCTTCCCTTGCCTACGGGTGCCAAGACCCCTCAGTCTGAACAGGAGGCAGCTCTGGAAGGGGTGCAGAGTGAGGGCAGCTCGGTGTGGACTGTGCCCCATTTCTGTGCCGTCCACACTGGACGCCTCCCGCCAGGATCGCCAAGCTTCGACGCCGAGCGCCCCTCTGTGTCAGTGTTTACCTACCAGCCCGCGGCGGGGCTGATGCGCAGGGGATTCGCCAGGACCAGGCCTCCCGTGGCTGCCTGACCCCGAACTTGAAGGCAGGCCCAGCGCATTCTCCTCCGAGCCCCACACGCCCGGCCCAAATAGCGTGTTGGACCGACAGGCCCTGTGCACCACAGGCGAGGACAGTGGTGGGGAGTGCCAGCCATGTGTGCCTCAGAGCCAGCTTGCTTCCATCTGGTCCGCGCTCCGCAGAGGTGGTCTGGGGTCCACAGCTTCGTGGTGGGCAGCTGCCCCTGCCGGCTGGTGCAGGTGGGCCGCCCCAGGCCCGTGCCGGGACCGGAACACCTTTCTCTGGGGCCAGTGTGAGTAGCACGGCCAAGGTAAGCTTTCCTGGAGGTTCCGTTGGCGCCTCTGGCTACCGAAAGGTCACGTGGAAATACAGGGACTGGTCAGTCAGGGTGCAGGGCAAGCCCCTGGTTGAGACCCTCCACCCCAGCCCGGCCCCGAAAGGCCAGCAGTGCCAGGTCCCTCGGGGGTCTCGGTGGGGCCTTCCTGGTGGGCAGAGTCTGGCCTTCACCATCTGCTTTATCAGCAGGCACGGGTCCGCCCTTGTCAGCGTGTCCTCGGGCGGCAAGGGGACGTCCCTGGCCTCCATGTCCTCTTCTGAGATATGGGGTCTCCTAGGCCCTGTTGGGCAGACCGCCGAGTTCCAGGGCAGCAGGGACCTCCCCCAGCCAAGTGCATCCTCGGAAAGAAAGGGGAGAGAAGCCAGCCAGGATCACCCCCACAGTACTGCTCCCACGTTGTCTTCCACACAGAGCTGCGCCCCCACGGCGGACCCTGCTCCTTGGCGACCTGCACGCACCCTTCCCTGCCTTTCGGAGGGTCAGCCTGGGGCCGGGCCTGCCCCCTGCTGCCCCCCGGCCCAGCACACTTGCCCACTCGCCCCACACGGCCTGTGCCCTCCCTTGCCCTTGCAGCCCCTCCTTGCGGGCACTCGGTAGACCACCTCCCCGACCAGGCCGGTCCTGCTGCCCATGAGGGGCAGTGAAGCTGAACCTGTGCATGAGTCAGGGTCAGGGAACCCGAGCCTGTGTTTTCCTAGAAATCAATCTGGCTGGAAGTGGTGGGCGGCCATCTAGGCTGGGGGGGCCCCTGGCCCTGCCCCCGAGCCCCCCAGTTGCCCGGCTGCAGGGAGAAAGGGGCATCGGTCCAGCCTCGGCGGATGGAGGCCCGGGGTAGAAGCAGGCAGGCCGAGGGTTCTCAGGCGCCCCTCCCTCATTCCCGGGGCACGGCCTCTGCTGGGCGCGTCCGTCCGCATCGCCGACAGAGACATCAGGTGAATGTGGCCCGGGGTTAATGCGGCAGCAATTAGCCCAACGCAAGCAGCTGGGGCAGCTGCTGAATGGGGCTTTTTGGGCCCCTTTGTGGCTTTTTGTGTGTTTTAACGTACTTGAAAACAAGCTATTATAAGAGGGCAGGATGGACGCAGGGCCGAGGGCTGACAGGTGGGCGGGGGGGTCTCCCTGGCGTCTGTGTCCCCATGGGCTGTGGCCTCGAGAAGGTCCTGTGTCTCCAGTGGCCTCCTCGGAAACGGGGGATGTTTCCAGTTCCCCCCGCAGACACCTGGCCGAGCCTCGTGTGCTGTCTGCACCGGGTGCCCGTGGGCCTGGGGACATCGGGGAGGCTGCTGGGCAGCTTGGAAGCAGGGTGTACATTCTGCATTCATGAACAGCTCCGACCCTCCTGTGTCCAACGTGAAAGCCCCTCCTGCCGCCCCGCCCCCAACCTGGGGACCCCGCAATGGAGGGGTCAGTCCCAGAGAACCGAGCTGAGGCCATTGTGTGTGGACCCGTCTGATCATGTCAGGGGACTTACCGGGTGGGCTGCCCCCAGCTCTCAGAGGGGCAGCGTGTCTGCCAAACCCACCTCCGCTCTGGCTTCCAGATACGAAAACACTGGGAACAAGGGTTCAACATCTAAATGCAAAACCTCTTAACCAAAGAGTCCGGGGACACAGATTAATCAAATCACCCTGAAGTCTAGACGCGTGTGAGCAGAGCAGGGACCAGCTCCAACACTGGAGCCACGGCAGGAGCGGGGGGCTGTCCCTGAGGGCATGGGGGCTGCCCAGCGCTGCCCGGCACAGTCCGGAGCCCCAGCCTCTGAGCCCACGTGCCCATGCCGAGCCAGTGCAGGGGGACACACCAGCTGCACGAGGAGGACCCGCCCCTGCCTGACCCCTGCTCGCACAATGCAAAGTCGCCGGGCCACCGTGGAGATGAATGTTCCTTCAGGAGGGATCGGAAGCGACATTCTAAAGCAGACATGGGGCAGCAGAAGCAGGAACAACTGAGTTACATGAATCACGGTGCCCGAGAAAGTGCAGCGGCTAAAAAGATGAGGTCCAAAAAATGCCAAAAGGAAGGCCTGCATGTGTGCAGAAATGCTTCCGCATCGTTCGCGAGAGGCCACTTCTGGGGCCGCCTGAGGGGCCTGGGAGCGCGACTGGCTGAGGGTTTCAGAGCCTCCTGTTCTCCACAAACCACCACGTACGCACCACACTTGAATTTCAGAAGCCATGTGTGTGCATTACCTCTGTAATAAGGATGAAATCACGAGTATTAAACGTTTTAAAATCTGAGCAGGTGCGCTGTTCACCTCATCACGTTTATGGTCTTGCTTTCTTTAGCGCGTGCATTTCTCTGCAGTGAGATGGGGAGGCAGTCCACTCCTTTCAGGAGTCCTGTGAACTTTTGCTGAAATGTTTTATCATCAGCCTGTGAATAGACCCACTTCCTGACTCTCAAGGATGGATCGGGTTCTCCTGAACTGCGGGTTCGATGGAGACGGAGTGCCCTTGCGCCCGACTGGGCCCCTCCCCTGGGGCCTGCTTCCAGCCGCCAGGGTCGGCGGGACGTGGCTCAGCCATGTGAGCATGGCAGCTTACCTTTCCGGTCCTCTGCTCCTGAAGGCTGTGCTGGGCACCGTCCCTGCCCCCCAAGCCTGGGCCACCTGGCCCAGGCCACCCCCATCCCCCCGCCACGCGGCTTTCTGCCTCTTCCCACAGAAAAGCACGACCAGCAGCAAAGGTTAGTTCAGTTACTCCGGGACCCTCCTTGCCAGCCGCCCCCGGATCTACTGCCCCCCCCGTCCTGAGAAGTGAGGGGGCGACCCCATGGGCTCTGGGGGCCGCCGGCCGCGCTTGGAGGCTGCCTTCCACGAAGAGAGCTGCCCCCGCCAAGCCGCCGAAGCACCGTGTTAAACGTGAAACACCAACTGCTCTTTTATTCACACCAGATGCTACTTGAGAAAGACCATGTCCGAGGTTATTTCTAGCAAGAGCGAGCGTTCTCTTCCTCAAGACTCGCAGAGAGAGGCACCGTCCCCGGTGAGCAGCTGCGGGTCCCCAGCGGCAAGGCTGGTGGAGCAGGTGGCGGTGGCCGAGGGTGGGCCTGGGAAGCCCACGGCTGCAGACCACGCCGAAGGAGAAGCAGGGACGCACGAGGACCCTTTATTTCCCAGTTTTCTCAGGCACTCTTTCCAAAGGGGTTGGTTTTAAGATCTAGTGTGATTAAAAACGTCGGCTGGAGGTAAGCGCGTGCCTGCCGGCTGCCGCCGTCTAAGGCCAGAAGCGGTGGAACGCACGCTCGGTCCGCGCACAGCGGTCGTGGTTAGTTTTGTCGGCATGAGTGAGCGAGTAGCATTAGTCGTGCACAGAGTGAAATACACGATCATCCCCGAGACTGTTTGTGCTCCCGTGTTTGGAGGCTCGGGGCCACAGACCCGGCGTGGGGCCAGTGATGCCCCAGGGCCACGTGAGGGCAGGACAAACATCCTCGCAGGACAGACAGTGCATTTCCTATAGCAGGTAGGGTTCTGACATCGGGGGAGGAGAGAGTTAAAATGTGATTATGGCCAATGAGGCGTGGTGCACATCCAGGAGGGCCGTGGGGCCGCCAGAGCTGGACGCAGCTCCCCACGGAGGGACGGTGGCGGGAGGGCTTTACTTCTCCTCTGTGGACAGGTGGTACAGAGCCTCGCCCAGGCGCACTAGCTCCTCCTTGTGCTCCAGGTCCTGGTACAGGCCCGTGGGAACCGCGTCCAGGCCGTGCAGCAGCCCGAACAGGCAGCCCGCGATAGTCCCGGTGGCCCCGCTCTCGCCTGGAACGAAACGCAGGTTCTCAGGGGCCCCAGGGTCGAAGTGGTCAGGCGTGGCCCGTCTCAGAGACCCTCAGGGCAGCCCCCGCCCCGGGGCCTAACCCCAGCTTTTCTCTGGGCACACCGACCCGGGGGACTTGCTGTCCTTCTTCCACCCTCCCTCCTTGCACACCCTGACACACGTGTGTGCGGATGCCCAGGCCGTCCTGGGGGCCGGGCGCTCGGGGAGCTCATGTCTGCAGGCGCTGGCGTCTCTGCCACCTCAGCACCAGGGACCAAGGGGCCCGGATGCCCACGGAGACTGTGCTCAGCTCGAGGTGGTGTTTGCCAGAAATCCCCTCATTTCACACCCGCAGGGGAGAGCGGGCACCAGGAGGCGGGGAATTCCTGCGTCCCGGCCGCCCCTGGAGGGCTCGAACCCGTGGCCACCTGATGCAAAGGGCTACAGAGCTCCCTCTGGCTACGGAGTCTGTAGAACTGTGTGGGGCCTGTACCTGCAGGATCCCCGCTCTTAGCCCGGCGACCTTGAAGGAGAGGGATGCGCACCCCGGCTCTTCCCCCAGATGCCCTTTCCTTGTGAGCCCCGACTCCAACGGCCACTCGAGGCAGCACCCCGCCCAGAGAAGGACAAATATTCCGGGGGGTCAGGAGGCTGGGCCCTTGGACATCCCGGGAGGGTGCTTTGGGGGGAGAAGGGGGTGCTGGTCACCTGGAACCCAAGACCATTAAAGAAGGGGTCTCACCTCCATGACACATGGCCCGGTGGCAGAGCTCTGCCCAGCTGTCACCTGCTCCTAGGAGAGCGTCGTAGGCGATCATGGGGGCATCGTGGCCCCGCCGGCCCCCTCGGCCTTCCGAGCTCCATTTTCGGTAAGCCTGTAGGAAGAGCCAGGGATCAGGGTCATGTGAGACAGCGAAGCCAATGTTGGCTGGAGCGTGAGCTTCCTAGGTTCGTCCAAGGTGCCGCTGGGCACCTACTCACTGTGCACTTATGGAGCACTGCCTGTATGCACTGCCCCAGGGCTGGGGTGACCGTACCCGGGAAAGATCCCCTTCTCGTGGCTCCTACGGATGTAGGTATTCCAAAGACAAACCTGACTACATGTTGGGGTAGCCACCAAGTCTGTGGTGATGGAGCCACTCAACCCACGTCTGAGTGGAGCATGGGGCTAGCGGGCAAGGGTGGGCCGGGTGGTGGTGCCGAATGAAGCCTGGGGGTGCGCCATGAGCGGAAAGGCTGGAGAGAGCTGGGAGCGGGCAGGGGCCAGGGTGCAGACTGGCCGGTCGCACCCCGGTGCCCTGGCGACAGAGTCAGCCTTGGTTTGGGGCAGCACCATCTGCAGGACTGCACACCAGGGCCTTCCTGCATCCAGGGGAGGTCCCCGGGGGGCACTTAGAGGGGCAGTAGGGAGCACCCAAGGAGGGAAGGGTGGGCCCTCCCTCTCCCCTTGCACCGTCCGGACACATGGAATGCAGACGCGCTGGCTGGAGCCAGAGTGGCCGGCTTGGAGGACAGTGGTGCCCTCAGAAGACAGAGGGGCCACACAGAATGTTCTCAGCTCCTCACCGCAAGGGACTTGCAACTCAACTTTGGCATCCGTGGACATACGGGTAATAGGTGTCTATCTTGGCTAAGCCACAGTGACTCAGGGTTTTCCCTTGTACTACCAAACCCGATGCTGACCGTGTCAGCCAGTTAGGGGTCTTCTCAGCACGAGGATGAGGGCCTGCACAACCTTATTCATCATGTACGACTTTAAGTTCTAGCCCCTAGAAAAGATGAAGTGGAATAGAACATCTTTAACAATCATATTTTCCCCAAATTGTCTAGCACGTACCATGCTTTAAATGAGAGAAAATGGAAAGATAAAGTTTTGTCTGCTTCACACATGCTTCCTCCAGGAAGGTTTCCACACCCGCCCCACAGCTGCGCTGGGCCCCTGGTGGTTGCTGGGGGAGCCCCAGGCCGGGCGCTAGCCGCGGCAGGAACACAGCCCAGCTGCAGCGGCTCCTCGGCGGGGCCCGGGCCCTGGGACCCCGACAAGTCCTGTCCTCAGCCCTCGCACCACCGGCAAGACTCACCTTGTCCCTCTCCTCTGAGTCGTAGTGCTCGGGGAAGACAGCTTTGCTTCCCGTGTCATCGCTGATCTTTCTCTCCTCCAAGTAAAACTGCCATTTGGCTTCAAAGTAAAACCAGTGCTCCTGGTATTCTAAACATAAAGAGCAGGGCGGGCTGCAGGCGCGGGGCGGCTCCACGGCTCGGCCGTGCTTGTGTCTGCAGCTGCTTTGGAACCAGAGGGAGGGAGGAGGAGACGGGCCCCAAAGCAGCGCCAAACCTCCTTGACTCTATTCCGAACCCAACCCAGGACTGCACTGCTTCCAAGAGCATCCGCTTGAAAATTCTGAGCCTGTATCTCTTCCCTGATGCAACGCAGCCTGGGAGGAGGCATTTCCTTACTCCCGGCTGACCGCCCGGCGCACAAGCCCCAGAGGCCTTGAAAGGACCTTCCAAAATCACAGGGTGAAGAGGACATTCGTGGCGGCAGCTGCGCCGGCGCAGGTGTAGACGCACGAGCGCCTGGGCGTCCCTCCAGCAGGCGGCTGGGCCGGCACACCGCGGCGGCCTCCGCACCAGCCCAACGGGAACTCCTGGCTCGCGGGGCACAGTGCTGCCCGCGGGACAGGGGACGGCTCGGGGGCTGCAGGCAGGCCCAGGGACAGGTCTTGGGATGCGGCTCCAAGTCCGAGGGGGCCACAGGCCCCTGGGAAGCTGGCCCGAGTCTGCTTTACAGAGCGAAAAGCAGAGCCGACCTAACATTGAGGCAAGACCACCAGGCCCGATGGGACGCCCCAGCCGCCCTGCAGAGACCGGCGCCCGGCCCGCGTGCGGCCGCCTCTCTCCCGGCCGCTGGGCGGCCGAGTCTGGGACCAGATGTCCAAGCAGTAAGCCGGGGAGCTGATGTGCCAATGGGCACCACGATGCAGAAGGCCCTTGAGGAATTGAACACAACTGTCTCTGGACGATTTGAGGTTTCTGTTCAAAAGGGTGTGTGTCATAGGAGGCCATAAAACTCCAGGTTGAACACATTTAAAATTAAACAGAAAGAACAGTCTCAGATTTTCTGACCAATGCCTGCCCTCCCCGTTCCTGTCCAGGAGCATCCCCCGCGGCTGCTCTGTGGGGACACCCTGGGGGAGGCCAGAGCTCTGGGGACCGTCCCCGACATGGCGTGAATGCACTGCGTGGCCCACACTCGGCCCTGTTGACCTGTCTCTCCCCAGCTGGGAGGAGGTGGCCACAGGCAGCCTCACCCACTGCAGAGAGCCTGGGGTAAGAGTGACTTAAGGCAGCAGAAAATAAGGCCAGCGTGGAGCCCTGTTCTATAATTAAGTTTATAGGGGGACACTTCAGTTCACGTGGACACAATGTTCTCTGCTTCACATCGGAACGGAGCCCAGTGGATGAGAGTTTCCCCTCACTGCAGAAGGAGAGGCAAAGTTCTCCTTGTCAAGCTGTTCTGGAAGCTTCTCCAGAGGCATTTAGAATGAATCCCCGCTCGCCGGAGGGTGACAGTGACTCATGGGTGTCCTGTCTCAAGACCTCGGCCTCGGGCTGCCCAGAAAACCAGCAACCTTTGCTCTTACACTCACACCTTCAGCCCCCTCTGCCCCGGGACAAACGCGGCAGCTTATGCCGGAAACCCTCCTGGACAACTTCAGAACATTCTCACGCAGCTCCCATCCCTCCTGGAGGGAAAGAGCCCTGCGCAGGGTTGGCCGCCCAAGGAGAAGCCGTGGGCTTCCTAGTCCTGCACCAGCTTCTCTCGTCTGGTCCGTCAGGCCACCACTCGCCCACCCGCAGCAACACCGTAATCCCCTAGGACCTCTGCTGGACAAGCTGATGGATACCCCACGGGGGGCCAAGGAGGGTGTGTGTCATTTGACGGTGGGTTTGAGGTAACTGGGGACAGACAGACACTCCTGGGTGTGGATGTCACCAGTGGGCACAGATGCCCGTCTGGCCTTCGTGGCAGCAGACTTCGGGTCAGGCCGTCCACAAGGTGCAGGAGCAGTGCGGACGTCAGTGTGGGTGTCCCTTCTCCGTCTCCGGGGAATGGGCTACTTAAGGACCATCTGGAAAATCGAACCTAAGCATGCACCCCTCCCATCTCTCCGGCTGCCGTCAGACAGCAGGAGGCCCGGGGTCAGGATGCAGCGGCTCACACTGTGCCGGGTCTCCTGGCTACTGGGGTCCCCTGGGCAGGTGTCGTCCTCTGCCAGGGGTGCCTCGGCCCCCTTGGTGGGGTCAGCCCTCGGTTTCAGGGTGGGGCAAACAGACCTCGAGCTGTCTGGGAACCCTGTGTGTCCAAATCTGCCGCGAGGGTGAATCAGAGCAACCCGTTCAAGTGAGACCGGAAGGGGGGCCAGGCTCACCTGCCAGGTGCCGGATGGTCTTCTTACAGTATTCCTCAGCCAGAGGGACCGTCCGCATCATGTCCCTGCCCCACTGCTCCAGAGGCTTCCCTTGTGCAGCGTATGATGCAAACAGGGCCGTGCACAGGGACCCGAGGAAGCCTGCAGGGCAGGGGCAGAACAACACAACAATGGCATCTGGGCTCGCGTCCTGGGCCGTTGCCCTGTGCACTCTGGCCTTCTGTTTCCTGCACAAAGGGGTGCCATGCCCCCTAGCAAGGGCCATCGTGGGGACAGACGGTTCTCAGCACAGAGGAGCGCCCGCCAGGCCAGCCCGAGACACACGGAGACCACAACCACGCGGGAGAAGGCACAGCCATCTCCAGAGATGCTCTCAGTGGCTCGCTGGCCACTCTGGGAGGCGTCGCCACGGGCTGGGAGTGAGTGTCCAGTTCTCAGACCCACTACTGTCCTGACCACCTGCCATCACCCCGGCCCCTCTGGGTATCCAGCGTCTGGGACGTGCACACGGTAACACCACCATGACGCTTGCAGCTAGCCGTATCTGGAACACTGGACAGGAGCCGACATGCCTTCCCTGGTGTTGCCCGCATGCCATCAAACCCTCAGTGTTTCATCAAATCTTTCATTAGAAACAAATTATATGAGGGGCGCCTGGGTGGCTCAGTTGGTTAAGCGTCTGCCTTCGGCTCAGGTCATGATCCCCGGGTCCTGGGATCAAGCCCTGCGTCAGGCTCCTTGCTCGGAGGGGACTCTGCTTCTCCCCTGCCAGCTGGTCCCCCTGCTCGTGCTTGCTCTCTGTCTGTCTCTTTCTCTCTCTGGTTCTCTCTGTGTCAAATAAGTAAATAAAATCTTAAAAAAAAAAGAAACATTTCTTTAATAATAGTGGGCAATATATTAGCCAGTTTTAGAGGTTCGGATTCTCGACCCAGAGTCTCATGCTCCTCATATCGTCTCCAGACGCTCCGCACGGTCATGGTTGGAGGCTTCCTATGCTCAGTCCACCTCTCCTTGAACCACTAGTGAGCAAGTGCTCAAATTCTCTGCCTTTCACACAGACTTAAGGGCCTAAGGAACACCCACGAGGGTGTCGCCAGGAGGGCACAGAGTGGCCACACCAGTTACAGGGGACATTGAAAGTGGTCTTGAGGGGCACCTGCGTGGCTCAGTCGTTGAGCGTCTGCCTTCAGCTCAGGTCATGATCCCAGGGTCTTGGGATTGAGCCCCGCATCGGGCTCCCTGCTCCGCGGGAAGCCTGCTTCTCCCTCTCCCGCTCCCTCTGCTTGTGTTCCCTCTCTCGCTGTCTCTCTCTGTCAAATAAATAAATAAAATCTTAAAAAAAAAAGTGGCCTTGAAAGAGGGAACAGTGGCTGGGCAGCAGCGAGCAGTCTGTGGACCTGCAGGGGCTGGGGAGGGCCCACCACCCGCCTTGCCAGGATTCAAGGTGGTTACAGGTGTGGGAGTTCCAAGTCCTTTTTTAAACTTAGGCGCTGCCTGCCTTTCTAGGTCATGACTCACGGTCAGCTGGGGCCCCGCCTGCCTTCCCTCCGTGTGCTGGACATGCGGTGGGGAACCCCAGGGCATAGCTGACGCCACCTCACCTAGGAGCACCAGCCAAGAGGCCCGTTGTTCTACCCACTCTCTCCTCGTGCTCAGGGAGACCCGGCTCCCAGTGCCACCATCAGGTGGGGAAACAGAGGCACGGGCAGTGAAGGGATGCAGCTCACAAGGCCCGTGATTGTTGGTCTGGCTCAGGGCCTCACCCGGGGGCAGCACTTCGCAGCAGATGATGCCCAACACTTGTGACATAAATCTGCATGCTCAGGACATCAACCCAAAGCCCAGCTTCCCTCAGACAACTGGGGCTGCTCTTTCTTCCTGGTGCAAACAGCCCTGCACCTACTGGGGATTCTCCCCCCCAGCATCGCCACGCTCCATGCCAGACCCGCTTTTAGGTCGAAAACAGAGCGTAAGCAGACCTGAAGACAGAGAAGCCCAAGTCCGCCAACAGGCAAATGAACCACACGGTGGGTAGGGTTTCCGCAGGCACCGCACGCGAAGCGTCACCTGTGGGGTGGTTGTGGGTCATCCTGCCACACTCGATGCTCACTTCGACGAGTGTCTCCAGGCGCTCGGGCTTCCAGTACCGCATGCCAATACACATGGCTTTCGTGGCAGCTCCAAACCCCGAGCCTACACAGAACACAGAATACCCAGTTTCAGACGTGTGCTCCAATAACCCCCCTCCGGCAACCGACCTTTCACATGTAACCCGAACACGTAAACACATTTATGGAATGTTTATCACAGTGTCATTTAAGTGAGTGAAAATAAGCAGACGACCCAAATGCCCGACAAAGAGCAAAGAGTAAGTAACTTGCAGAGCTCCCGTATGTTGGAACGTTATTCCGGCATTGAACCCAGAATTTCTGATGGCTTGGGGAAGTGCTCTTAACATGCTCTCTGGGGAAGACGTGGCACACAGAGCTGCAGACACAGAATGCTTTAGCTGGACACATTTGCTCTCTGGGAAGGGGGTTCAGCTGAGCTGTAAGTGCGCGGGTTTCAGGGTCCCAGGGTGTGACAGGGTCCCGCTGTGACACGGAGCAATGTGCAGCACCGGCTCCCCAATAAAGATGGCGGACCTGGCTGCCAGTCGCTCTGAAGATTTTCTTGTGCCCTCCCGCCCTCCCGCCCACCACAGACCCGGGGCCACAGGTCCGTATGCACTTCCTAGAGTTGCATGTATGCAGCATCACGCAGAATATGGTTTCTCTCGCCTGGCATCTTTCACCCAGAGTGACCACTGGAGATGCATCCGAGCCGTCCTGCAGCATAGCTGACCCCTTCTCCAGCTGGCTGGACTCTGCATGCAGAGGGGCTGCCACTCTGCCCTCCCACCTGCTGACACCTGCCCTCCCACCTGCTGACACCTG